GCCTTGACCTTTTTACATTAAGTCCAAATAACCTTAGTTCATGCTTACGTGCATCTCCTGCACTGAACTCCAGGCGTATCTGGTCACTTGAAGGACTTGTGTTGAGCTAGACACTGTCTTCCTCCTTTCCACAGCTTCTGGAATGAGGAGGCTATGATCACTACCTGCATTTCCTCACTTCTCATTCACTATTCAACCCACTGAAACCTGGCTTTTGTCCTACTATTCCACAAGATTTTTCTCTTAAGCAACACAGATCAGACCTTTTCCTTTCCAGAAGCAAAACCTCTGTGGTGTGAGCTGGGGAGGAGCTGGGCCCCAGCTGCTGTTCTCATCTGAGTTGCTCCTTTGAGCCCTGGTGGTTCCTCCAAGCACTGTAATCCCCAGTGATCCCCAATGGTTTAAACTCATTTGTCTTCTCTGCCTTGAGCCTTAACAAGCCAGTTGGCTCAGATCCAGGACATTTCTCAGCTCACCTTCCTCTCTGTTGTTCATTTTTTTCTCTTTTTTGAGCAAATACCACACAGCACACTGAATTGTAATTTTCTTACACATCTTTCTTCCCTACTAACCAGAGAACTTCTAAACATCAGAGACCCTGTCTTCTCTGTCTTTAACATGTAATAACAATGGGGTGAATAAATGGAATGAATGGCCAGGCAGCTGAACTAGTTCCAAGTGATAGGTGTTCTCAGGTGAATGGTGCAGCAGAGTAACAGGCAGAAGGAAAAGGGGAAAGGAGTTTTATTTTCTTTGCGGACATGAAAGAGAATGTGGGTAATGATGAGGAATTCTCTCTGGATTGGAACAAAAGGACGCTGAGGCTTTTATGGCCTTTTATGGGGGGAGGGGTTTGAAGGGGATGTTTAGATATACCTGAGAAACTGATTGGAGGTCTTTCCTGAGATGGCCGGAAGGGGAAAGTAAATTATGACCTGGGCTGAGCGGGAAAAGAAGGGAAGAGGTGGTCTTGGGGAAGATGGACTTTAAGGGCTTCACCCATATTAGATGACAGCCATGATGATTTTAGCAGTTCATACTAGGGCCAGAACCTATCACCAAGTCTGCTCGTTAATCCACATAATTTATTTATTTTTTATTTTTTGTATTTTAGTACAGGGTCTCACTACACAGATCGGACTCAGTGATCCTCCTGTTTTTTAGCCTCCCATGTGCTGGGATTACGGGCTCACGCCACATGCCCAGTCGCAATCACCTTCTCAGTGTGTGTTGCGGGGGACAGCACTGCAGGCCGGGGAATCAAACCCCCAGCCCCTGCCTGCTTTAGTCCACTGAGCTATTTGGCCGGGCACCATCCACATAATTTAAATTCACAGAGTTGTACAGCTGTCGGCCCAATGCAACTTTAGAATATTTTTTGTCATGAAAATGAAAACCTGTAATCACTAGCGATCTTTACTCCACTTCTTAACTGTACTTCTAGATCCTAGGCAACCACTGATCTTTCACAGGCTCCCAAAGTCAACATTTGATTGATCACAAATCCACAAAATTTACTCTGATATCTGGACTATAATGTGCAGCTTGATGGGTAATTGCCCCTCGTTGTTACTGACAGGTTTTGGCCCTAGTACGAATTGCTGAATGATAGTGGACATCTAACATGGCTAAAGTTCTTAAAACATCTTATCTTCCCAGTGCCCACTTCCTCCTTCCCCAATCCAGTCCTGGATAGTTTCTTCTCACCTTTCCCGCGCACACAGGAGAGATCCCAAGCAACTCCTTACATGTAATTAAAACTGCCCTCAAACTCCACCCCTAGCAGAAGTTCATGAACGTCTCCACTCTGTCTCGGGTCAGAGGACCTGCCCCATCTGCCCTCGGTCCTCTCTGTGCCTTTGGAGTTAATAACGGCTTCTTTTATCTTTCCTATCTCTTTACTGTGGCCAGAAAAATCTAACTTTTACTTGTACTATAGAAACTCAAATTTGGGGGCCAAAGCAGCAGCTTCGTGTTAAATCTGCTGTCCGTTGGAACTCGATCCACGTACAACAAGGACGGCTGGTTTGACCTGGCGTCTCACTGTTGCCGTGGAAGGTAGTTGTGTGTACTTTGACAGAAAACGGGGTAAATGAGAATTATCACAAGCACTGGAAGCAATTGTCAGAAGTGCCCTCCAGCGCTTTGCTGAGGGAGTTTAACCCTAGAAAATACTGGCCGAGAATTACGTGTGCTGTGCTCCACTGCTTTTATTTAAAAAAAAACATTACTTAGCTTAACCCCTAAAAATATGGAGAACTGTGTGTACAGCGGCGCTATTCTTGGTTATTTTGCGGTACAGTATTGAATCTGGGGCCACCGAACTGAGCCACATCCCCGGACTTTTTTTTTTTTTTTTTAAACACAGGGTCTCAATAATTTGGCCAGGCCAAGCTGGCCTCGAACGATCGTCCTGCCTCATTTTTCCAAAGTGCTAAGAATTACAGGAGGTACTTTCCAGTTTAATGGGATTATCTCCGACCTGTTTGAAGGTTACGCAAGAGACCGGGAATTGAACTCAGATCGTTGCTATTGCTAGGAAAGCGTTTATCCCACCGAGCCATCTCTCTGGTCCGGTAGGGGACTCTTGAGTATCAGCACAGGAAACACTGCTCAGTATTTTTCAAAAGGGGTCGGGTCTCGGGCGTCGCCAGGCAGCCGCGTCTCGCAGAGTCGCGCGCGCAGTGACGTACCAGGCACGTGGTGACGTAACACGCGGCGCGGTGCACGCTGGGATATTTAAGTCTTCTCCGCGGCGCGGAGCCGCGATGTCTCCGGCGGCTGCGGCGGCTGGAGGAGGCGAGCGGCGGCGACCTATAGCAAGCGCCAGGGACGGCCGTGGCCGTGGACGCGGCTGCGGCGGGCCTGCCGGGACGACACTGCTCGGCCTGTCGCTGCTCGGCCTCGTGCTGTACCTGGTGCCCGCAGCGGCGGCGCTGGCCTGGCTGGCCGTGGGGGCTACCGCGGCCTGGTGGGGACTGAGTCGCGAACCCCGGGGTTCGCGCGCCTTATCCTCGCTGGTGCGGAACGCGCGGCGCCACCGAACGTTGATCGCCTCGCCTCCGACCAAGTCCGCAGTGAACGGAAGTCTCCTAGAGCCAAGGACCCCACTAGAAGGACCCGACCCCGCGGAGCTGCTCCTTATGGGCAGTTACCTGGGCAAGCCTGGCCCGCCGCAGCCCGCGCCCGCCCCGGAAGGCAGAAACCCGCGGGAGAGGCCAGGCCTCCCGCAGTCCGCCCGCTCCCCGCCGCCCGCAGCCGCGGCCCGGCGCTCCCACCACCTCTACCCTTCTCTCCCCACCCCTCTCCACCGACCTTCCCGGAGGCCTTCCCACGGGTAAGACGCGTCGATCTAGCCAGAAACCCCTGCCTGTAGATTGGCTAAGGACATGACTTCTAAGTCCGATTTTCTTCCTGGATTCCAAAGTGGATTCTGTGTGGTTTTAACCTCTTTAAGGAAATCTTGGTGTGTGTCAGGCGTCATCTGCCCTCCTCTAGCTCTTTCAATGAGAAGTATTGCCAAAACTCTTTAAGTCACCCTACGTAGTCCAGGCAGTCCTTGAATTCACTAAAGTGATCAGGCTGGACTCGAATTTGTGATCGTTCTGCCTCAGCCTCCAGGTGTGGGATTAGAGGTGGGAACCACCACATCTTGCTCTCCTGTTCTTATAAGTACCTGTTAGTGAAGTCTACTTTTAGCTGAATACTTAACTACTAAAATATCTCTCCTTTGAAAATGTATTTTGGAGTTTAGTAGTATGGTACATTTGACTACGTTTTTGTCTTTGGACCAATAAGAGAAATTAATCTCATCGGACTTCAAAGAGGTGTCTTGGGAAATACCTCTTTGAAAAAAGCATGATAGACCTGACCGAATTAGACACGTTTTCATTTAGTCCCAAGAACTGAACGATACAAAAGAATATAAAAAATTGTGAACATGTTGGAATCTTGATTAATACGTGGATTAAAGCTCCTGCTTAGGCAGATACAGGAACCAGGTTTGATCCCCATTGTGCTCTGCTGGCCCTGCCCCCCCGGCATGCTGAGACTGTAATTGAGACTGGGCATGGTGAAGTGCACTTAGGAGGCTGAAAACAGGAGGACCACTACGAGTCAAACTGTAGTAAGACCCTGTGGACCGTGTACTAAATACATAGAATATGTATAATTATATAATGCATATAATGCACATATATAATGTATATAATATATATATTTAGTTGAGAAAGTTCGGGTTGAAAATGTTCGACTTTAAATGCATATTATAATTTAGCATGAACAAGTAAAAAATTCTTGAGAGCTCTTCAGCAGCATCACCACCCCCTGTCCTTGGTACTTGTGTGACCAAGGTTTTCAATTTCCCTGTGCAATAGCTGGAGTCTGGTAGGGACAGCTGTTAAGCAGCTGCTGCTTTCTGCCCTTAGATGGAATAGGAGAGTGTTGCCATAAAATTATGTTTTGTTGTGCTTAGAGATTTGAGCTTGCTGGTTCTTTAGCTGTTTACATTTTCTGACATTAAGTTTCTTTGGTTCCATGATGTGTCTCCCCTTCTCTGTAGGGATTATGGAACTTTATCCAATCGGTTTGTAATAACACCTCGAAGACATTATCCCATCCAGCAAGCCCAGTATTCTTTACTGGGGGTCTTGCCCACAGTGTGCTGGAATGGTTGTCATAAGAAGCCCGTGCTGTCTGCTCGTAATTCAAGGATGGTGTGCAGCCCAGTGACTGTGAGGATTGCACCTCCAGACAGCAAACCACCTCGAGCTGCAATGTGAGTATTTGTAAGATTCCTCCCTCTGCTTTCTCTGACAAAACAGCTATAGCACACACAAAAGAAATGGCTGCTTTTATTTCAATGAGAATTCCCAAATTCTGGTGAAACCTTCATTTATTTTTGGCCTTTGAAAATAGTTTCTGTTGCTAATGGCAATTTGAGTGAGTGTTACAGTTTTACTTATTTGTTGGCTTCTGGTGACTTAAGTCTGTGCAGTGTGGCCTGGTAATCCTGTATCTCACTGGCAGAATGTTGTCTTTTATTGCAGGGCTGAGCAGATAATCAACTCAACATTGTCCTCACCATCAAGTAATGCCCCAGACCCATGTGCAAAGGAGACTGTACTTAATGCTCTCAAAGAGCGGAGGAAAAGGACAGTGGAGGAAGAAGACCAAATACTCGTTGATGGCCAGGAAAATAAGAGAAGGTAACAGGCTCAGCAGAACACAAAATGAGTCTCCTGTGTGCTCTCCAGAGTCTTGGTTACAATGTGTGTCACTCTCAACTCCAATCTGTGAGCCTTCATGACCCCTTTTTTACTTTCATGGCAGAGCCTGGCAGTAAGGGTTTGAATGCTCATCACTTCCTACAGCATAGTTTAGATACATTTTATAATGTTTGTTTTCCATAAACGGCAGAGATAAGCTGGCAAGTCTTAGGCACATTGGCTTCCCGCCTTAATCCAAGTGTGTTAATTTTCGTTTTCGAGAATGAATGTTCAGTCCTCCTTTTACTACTTTGCGTTCTCTCCTGGAGAATATGTGTGTCAAGGAAGAGTGAAAACCAGGGTGTGCTATAGGTTTATCAGTGCTGAGCGTCAAACCACTTTCCTTATTTAGGTTAATATGATGCTTAATGAGTAAAACAGCGAACAGCTCTTGAGTCTAGAGAGGACACTGAATCCGCTTTCTGAGCGGGTCAGTTAGGGACTCCACTGATGGGTGTGTTCGGTTTGTTTTTGACAAGGATTAAGCCCAGGGCCTGGTGTGTGATCGGCATAACACCAAGAAACTACGTTCCCATCCTCCACTTATTTTGCAGTTCATTAAATATTGATTGAGTGCTCCCTGTGCGCCACACTCTGTTCCAGGTGGATGGGCAGTGACCAAGAAATCCCTGCCCTTGTGGGTCTCTCTTGAGGGAGAGTGGAACTTCTTTTTTTTTTTTTTTTTTTTTTTTTTTTAAAGGCTGAAACACCAAACTGAAGAAGAGAGA